TTAAACATCCTGCGCTTGATTAGCATATTCCCGCCGGTCACCATTTTGGAAACTGACTAGCCCGAAGTAACTGCCCGCGTCTACACGCGGCAGAGAAGAGCGATTCCGAGATAAACCTTTTAGTTCAAATTAACAGTTAAACGTCATTCCATGAGGAGTAACAGTTAATTTGAACTAAGGGGTTTATCTCGGAATCCCGCTTCTCTGCCACGTGTAGACGCGGGCAGTTACTTCGGGCTAGTCAGTTTCCAAAATGGTGACCGGCGGGAATATGCTAATCAAGCGCAGGATGTTTAAATTCCGTGCTTCATTAGCAATTTCAGTCGCCCTCATTAGCCTCCGTAGTTCGAACTAGAGGGCTAGTGTAGACGTACCCCTAGTGGTTCGAATATTCTGTTCGCTTGTTACTTTTTAGACTGGCCCTGCACATTGAGTGGATTTTTTCAGGGAACTATCCACGAGGATTCCCAGAACTCTTTCTTGAGTGGTAACAGCTAATTTAGACCCTCTCATCTGGGATGTATAGTTGGGATTATATTTTTCTGTGTGTATTACTTTGTGCTTATCAACACTGAATTCCATCTGCCCTTGTGTTGCCCAATCACCCAGTTTGGAGAGATCCCTTTGTAACTCTTCCTGGATGGCAGAACAAGGAGCAATGGTCTCAAGTTGTGGTGGGAGAGGTCCAGGTTCGATATTAGGAAAAACTATTTCCCTAGGAGAGTGGTGAAGCACTGGGACGGGTTCCCTAGGGAAGTAGTGGAGTCTCCATCCCTAGAGGTGTTTAAGTCTCGGCTTGACAAAGCCCTGGCCGGGTTGATTTAGTTGGGATTGGTCCTGTCTTGGGCAGGGGGCTGGACTTGATGGCCTTCTAAGGTCTCTTCCAGCTCTATGATTCTATGATTGTATGAACTCTTTGCAATTGGTTTGACTTAACTACTTTAATTCGCTATCATCTGTAAATGTTTCCCGCCTCACTGTTTTTTCAAGATCATTTATGATCAAGTTGCCCAGAATTGCTCTAAATGCAGATGACTCTTTTTTCCTATCTTTTACCTGGCATGATCATCTAAGGACCCTCCAAGTACTGGAGTGCCCAGCTTTTTGTGGTCTCCCTCGGTTTATAAACAAACTCCCTGCCCCAAAGCAAAGCTGGAACAGCACAAGCCCTGGGTCTAAGGAATGGGATTTAAGCAGCCCTCAAGTATGAAATAAAGAGGTTCAAATCTCAGGGCATAGCTACAGATCTTCCTAACCCCCCCTTAAATGCCAGCCCTGTGTGTCTCCGCCCCTGCCGTGGCAGCTCCCTGAATAGCAGGCCTAAGCCCCAATGCCGGGCTTATTAGACAGCTGTGCGGCCAGACAGCTTAGAAGGAATCTTGAGAATACCAATTTAAATGTATTATAAATGAATCTGACACTTTTCTACATTGTCAGATATAGTGATTTCAGTTATAACACAGAACACCCATTTTACAGTGCTCCCTTTACAGTATTATTTTAGATTACAACTACAAAAAAGATAAATCGTATTTTTCAATACAAGTACTGTAGTGCCATCTCTTTATCGTGAAACTGACCAATGTAGATTTTCTTTTTGCAACATAACTGCACTCAAAAGCAAAACATTTACAACTTTAGGGCCTATGTGTCCTACTGCTTGTTCAGACAATATCTAAGACCAAAAAAATTGTTTACATTTATGGAAGATGATGCTGCCCACTTCTTTTTTACAATATCACTGGAAAGTGAGAATAGGAGTTTTCCTGATACTATTTGTGGCCAGCATAGCAATGTGTTCATGTGCCAAATATACTAAATATCGGTATGCTCCTTTATTCTTCAACATTTGTGAAACAACTTGTTTTTAAAGTTACAAACTAACACGGCTACCCCACTAAGATTTTTCCACATTTGTTAAGTTGCATTTTCACTTTCACTATATTTAAAAATTTAGAAAAACATTCACAAATATTTATAATAATTTAAATTGGTGTCTTATTATTCTTTAACACTGTGATTAAAACTGCAATTAAGCACGACTATATTTTTAACCTTGCTATTAATTGTGATTTTTTGTAATCGTTTGCCAGCCTTAGTTGCCACATATTGGACTGGAGGGACAGCAAGAGAAGCAAAGATAATATATTAACCTCAGGCTTGGGGTTTGGATCAACAGTGTCTGGCGTAACTCTGTGTCATTGAAGGGCATGCATTGATCCAAGGGGAGGGGATGTGCAAAAAGATGCTGTGAAATCATTACAACCATTAATAATCCAAGAGTTGGTCTATTAGTTTGTTTTATTTAACAAACAACCTAAGGGCTATCTATGTGCCTGTGAATTCTCCACTGTAATGTCTAGTATCTAAATCACATTCCCAGAACTCTAGTCTCTAACCTAGCCCTCCCATCTGATGCTGTGCATGCTCACATCGGGTGGCCAGGGGCCTTCAGAGGGGGGGATGACAGGACAATTGTCTATGCAATTTAGCTATGTCACATTGATTCCAGGGCACCATTTGTGGGGGATACTAGCTCCCCTCCTGAGTTTGAACCCCTGGATTTCATACTTGAGGTCTGCTTAAAGCCCATGCCCAGACTCCAGAGGCAGCTCTTCAAGGCATCAGAGTTTGAGCTGCTTGCAGCTTTGCCTTTGGTTATAAAGAGGGAGGCAGGTGATTAAGAATAACAAAAGGCTGGGTGTTCCAGTCATTGAAGGATTGATAGATCAGCCTGAAAACATGGCCAGGTACTCCACTTAAAAGATGCGGGGGAAGGAGTAGGAATGAGTGTTGCGCTACAGGGATCTGCATTTGGAGCACTGCCATTAAACTTCTCGTAAATGTTCTTGAAAAGGGGGTGAACACGGACTAATCCAAAGCTGACTGCAAAGAGTTACAAGAGGATCTCCCCAAACTGGGTGACTGGGCAACACAAGGGCAGATGGAATTCAGTGTTGATAAGCGCAGAGTAATGGGCATGGGAAAATATAATCCTAACTGTAGATATAAAAAGGAAGGGGTCTAAAAGAGTTGTTACCACTGAAGAAGCTGATTCCACTCCAGTGCATCCAATTCTGGGGGGCCCCACTACAGAAAGGATGTGGACACATTGGAGATGGGCCAGAGGAGGGAAACAAAAATGAGGAGGAGGCTGGAGCACATGACCTACAAAGAGATGCTGAGGGATTTGGGATCATTTAGTCTGCAGAAGAGAAGAGTGAGGGGGGATTTGACAGAAGCCTTCAACTACCTGAAGAGGATGGAGAGAGGCTGTTCACAGTAGTGACGGATGGCAGAACAAAGAGCAATGGTCTTAAGTTGCAGTGGGGGAGGTCTAGGTTGGATATTAGGAAAAACTATTTGCCTAGGAGGGTGGGGAAGCACTGGAATGGGTTCCCTAGGGAGGTGGTGGGATCTCCATCCCTAGAGGTTTTTTAAGTCTCGGCTTGACAAAGCCCTGGCTGGGATTTTTTAGTTGGGATTGGTCCTGCTTTGAGCAGGGGGTAGACTCCATGACTCCTGAGGTCTCTTCCAGCCAGAGGATTCTATGATTCTATAAAGAAAGATCTTTTTGGATAGTTCCCTGAAAACATCTGCTCAATATTCAGCGGCAGTGTAAAAACTAAAACGCTAAGAGAATATTGGCAATCGTTAGGGAAGAAATAGATAATAAGACAAAATACCATATTGCCTCAATATAAAGTCATTGTATGCCCACATCTTGAGTACTGTACGCAGATCTGGTCACTCCATCTAAAAAAAAGATATGTTGGATTTGGGAAAGGTATAGAGAGGGGCAACAGAAATGATTAGCGGTAAGGAACAATTTCCATAAGAGAAGAGGTTTAAAAAAGTGGGACTTTTCTTCTTGGAAAAGAAATGACTAAAAGGTGGGGGGATGTGTTCGAGGTCTAGAAAAGAGACTGGCCCTAGAATTGGGGGTGTGCGGAGCAACTGAGTTGGGGGGAAGAGAAGCTACTGACAATGTACTGATGAGAGGCAGAAAGAAGAAGAAGGTGACTCCAGTAAGGAGGAAACTGAAACCTGTGAATATTTTTTATTGGCTATTGAGGACCAAAGTCCACCTTGAACAGGGGTTTGTATGTAAAGTCTGACTCGAGATTGGTTTATATAGCCAAAGGGGAAACTGAGGCACAGCTCAGGACTTTGGCCTATGGCACCACCTTTGTGGCCTTGCAATCTCTGAATCTGATTTCTCTGATAGGGCACAGCAGCCCGTTTGCTAATAACAGACCTGCAGTGCTCCCACCCCTCTAGCCTTCCTCTTGTGCTAACACGGGCAGGATGCTGCCTTCTCTGAGAGCAAAGTGCTTGTGGTAATTTCCCCTCTGTACTAGCTGTTCTCCCTGTGATCACTCGCTGTCTGGTGTAACGCTGTGAAGTCAGCACCTTACAGTCTGCACTAGAACCTCCTTAGCACAGCGGCAAAGGTCACTTTCCCAGGATGACTCCAGGCACCAGGGCTATGTCTAGACTGCAGGCTTCTTTCGAAAGAGGCTCTTTCGAAAGATGCTTTCGAAAGAGCCTCTTTCGAAAGAAGCCTGCAGTCTAGACATAGCCCTGGTGCCTGGAGTCATCCTGGGAAAGTGACCTTTGCCGCTGTGCTAAGGAGGTTCTAGTGCAGACTGTAAGGTGCTGACTTCACAGCGTTACACCAGACAGCGAGTGATCACAGGGAGAACAGCTAGTACAGAGGGGAAATTACCACAAGCACTTTGCTCTCAATGTGCTTTTATTTTTCTTTCCTTCTTGGCTCCCGCTTTCATCCATGTTTTCAAAGTACGTTTTTGAAAGAACAAACATGGCGTTTACTGAGGGGCAACTGGGCGTCCATGATGAAAAAATAATAATCAAGCAAATGAGTCAGGATTACAGAAAAAAAGATCCACTTGGCCCAGTGTCATGGCAACCTAAAAGTCTCACCATAGCAACTTGCAAATCTCTTCTTTTAAAAGGTTTGCGTCCAGCTCCCTGCATCCTGTGCTATTAATGGTTCCATGTGTTTGTGCCCCTGATTGCAGACAACGGGTACAGAGAATGCCTCATGAATGGGAGCTGGGCAGCCCGCGTCAATTACTCCCAGTGCCAGGAGATCCTCAGTGAGGAGGTATGTGCCCACACCGCTGGCCCCAGGCCCTGTTTGTTCCAGGCAGTTGGAAGGAGGTGGCCGGAAGGAGGAGGAGGAAATCGAGTGGTTGGGTGTCTGGTAGGCAAAGAGGAGCCTGTGTAAGGGTCCGGAGCCATCTTGAACTTCTCACATCTTTGATGGGTTGTCAGCAGCAGGGGTTGTTAGCCCAACCAGTGACCAAGGGCCACAGGGAGCGAATGTTATGCACCACCTGCATCATGAGCCCTCCATGCACGCAGGCCCCTGTGTCGCTGCACCGTGGGCTACCAGGCGTGGCTGCCTCGGAGGAGGACAAGCTGCGTGACCACCCTAGAACATGTACCCCCCCCACGGGTGGTAGGAAACAAGCCACGTGCAGCTCCAGGCACAATGTCCAGCCCCATTATCAGTGACAAGGGCACGTCCTCTCTTGACTTGACAGCAGGACACTACCTGCCGGTCTGGGGCCTCCCTTCCAATAAAGCCCCCTAGGAATGATTGTCTAGTGCTACCGCCGCAAGTGGCTCTTTAATGTGTCTGCTGCAGCTCTGGGCAGCACGCAACAGAAAGCGGGTGTGATTCAATTGTTAACCACTCAATGCGACTGTAAGTCGGGAGGCCTTTATTATCTGATTAACCTCGCGTAGTTGATACATCGCAGGGAGAATTATAGCTCTAGGAAACGAAACAATGAATTCACCCTGCTGAGGGGACCCCGAATGGTAAATATGGTGCAATCTAACATACCCAGGGGAACAATCCAACCCCCAATGGGGCTGAGCCGACTGCTAGTCTGGGTCAGATCCAGCCATGGGCCACATGCTAACCAGGCATCAGACCTCGCTGGGTTCCTGATCTCTTCTCAAGGGACTTCAGCTCCTTGTCAGTGGGTCTCGGCTCCCAAGTGCCCAGCCTCTCTGGAAAATGGGATTTATGCTCCTAAGGCACCAAGCTCTTCCATCAGAGAGCTGGAAGCATTTTACAAAGCAGTGACCAGTGGTGGCTACTACCTGCCAGCTACTGCTGATCCACCTTTCTTGTGTCTTTTCTCCCCCAGAGGAAGAGCAAGCTGCATTACCACATTGCCGTCATCATCAACTACCTGGGACACTGCGTCTCGCTAGGGGCCTTGCTCCTGGCCTTTGTCCTCTTCATGCGCCTGAGGTGAGAGACCCAAGAAGCCCATGGCTGGTGTCCAAGTGGTATCCAGATCCTGCTCTCCTGTTTTCCTCTGCCAGTGAGCAGTCAGAGATAGGCCATGTTGCCTGTCTTGCTGGGGTTGAGAGGGAAGAACTAGGCCTGGTCAGAAAACAGGGAAGCAACCATTTTTGTCCATGGAAAAGTTCAGTATTTCAGCAGAAATTTGAATAACAAAAAATGTTGAGACCAAATCCTTGATATTTTGATTTGGAAATGCATCATGGGCATTGGTGCTCAGGTGCCATTCTCTTCTACAGGCCAGGCTCTAGTTGGGCTACATCTCCCACAGCCTTGTGGAGGAAGGGTGGTGCATTATGGGAGTCCCTTATGCTTCTATGTATAATTTACACAGGAGATAGGTAAGCAGCTGCAGCTTTCTCTCCCCTTGCTGGGGCACAGACTACTGAGATAGATGGGATCTTGAGAGATTATGGAGTCCAGTCCCCTGCCCTCACAGCAGGACCAAGTACCATCCCTGACAGATTTGCCCCAGACGGCTCCCTCAAGGCCTGAACTCACAACTCTGAGCTTAGCAGGGCAGTGCTCAAACCACTGAGCTGTCCCTCACCCCAGACTATGGCGCTTACTATCAGTGAGCAGCCATTATTCCTTGTGTAGTGTTAACGCAGCCCTTGTGCGAGGGATGGCACCATCACCAGGGTGTCGCTGGCTTTCGTACAACGGAACCGCTCACGCCATACGCAGTGCCGTTGTATCCAACCTGCCGGACCTGCGGCTTATCACTTGCCGTTCAGCCCCCTTGTCCTGGCTCTTTGCACCGCATTCTTTGGGAAGTAAAACCCAAACCGAGTGTCTCTCTCTTGCTGGGACGGAGGCATTCTGCTGTCTCCTTCCTTTGTTGACCTGATATTTAAATGGACCTTCGTGGTCTCTGCCTGGGGACCCATCCCAAGCAAACACATTCCTTTGTCTGGGGCTTGTCTACCCTGGCAAGTTACTGGGCTGTTATTTTCAGGCTCAGGGGTGTGAAAAAACACCCTTGGGACAGCGCTGTGAAGCGCCCGTGTAAACAGGCTCCCAGTGCTGTTAGCCACTCCCCGCGGGAGAGCTCTCTCTCTGAGCTCTCGCTGGGACCACACTGCTGCCTCAGAGTGTTGCCATGTCAACACTTTAAACTTGAACGTGTTGACTAGGGGTGGGGAACCTCAGGCCCGGGGGATGGATGTGGCCCCTGGCTTGCCTGGATCTGGCCTCTGAGGCTCAGGGGTCCCTGCCCCCGAGCATTGGGGAGCCCGCTCTGCATCCTAGCCCCTCCACGGCCGGGCTGGAGCACACAAAATCTACTAGCCTGGGTCTCCTAGGCTCCGGTGCACAAGGGGGGAATGTGGGGAGTGTCTTTGTGCTTCTCAATCAGGGGCCACGTCAGTGAAGGGTTTGGGGGGGGGGTTGCTTCTCACTTGTGTGCGGCCCTGACTGATTTTTCTGTGAGTCAGCAGCCCCCAACCCAAAATAAGGTTCCCCACCCCTAATGTAGACAAAGCCTAGGACAAACCGATTTATCAGGCCCCGCCCTCTCCCCGTGGCGACACTGTTACCAAAAAGCAAACATTCGCAGGAGTGCCGTAAGCAAGATACGAGAAGTGATTCTTCCGCTTTACTCAGCCTTAACTGGGGTGCTGTGACCAGTTCTGGGCACCACATTTCAGGAGAGAAGTGAACAAATTGGAGAAAGAGCAGAGAAGAGCAACCAAAATGATGAAAGGAAACAGGAGCTGTGAGGGAAGATTGAACAAATTAGGTTTGTTTAGTCCGGAAAGGAGGAGACTGGGAGGGCACATGATAAGTTTTCAAGTACAAAAAAACATTGCAAGAAGGAGGAGGGAGACGAATTGTTCTCTTTAACTTCCGAGAACAGGACAAGAAGCAATGGGCTTAAATTGCAGCAAGGGAGGTTTAGGCTGGACATTAGGAAAAACTTCCTGTCGGGGTAGTTAAGCACTGGAATAACTTGCCCAGGGGGTTGTAAATTCTCCATCCCTGGAGATTTTTAAGAGCAAGTTAGACAAACACATGTCAAGGATGGTCTAGATCGGGGCAGGCAAAATA